GGGCTTGGTCAATAAAGTTAGATGTTCATTTGTGTGAGAGTTTTCTATTATCACTTTCTTGGAAAACAATATCTTTTAGTGGCTGGGAAGGGATCTGTTTCTGAATACACTATCAGTTGCATCTGAGAATTTTCAGTACAGTCTCCTGTTGAGTTATACAGAATGATAGAACAATTTCCTTATCACTTCTATTCATTGATGAGCTGCTGAAACTGATCAGACTGACCATTACATCCCAAATGTTTTTAATCCATGGAAATGAACTTTTCATCCATTATGAAATACAGTGGTACCTCAGGTTAAGAACTTAATTCATTCTGGAGGTACGTTCTTAACCTGAAACAGTTCTTAACCTGAGGTACCACTTTAGCTAATGGGGCCTCCCGTTGCAGCTGCACGATTTCTGTTCTCATCCTGAAGCAAAGTTCTTAACCCGAGGTACTATTTCTGGGTTAGCGGAGTCTGTAACCTGAAGCGTCTGTAACCCGAGGTACCACTGTAGTAGGAATGTACTGTAGTGCTCAGCAATTAAATGTGATCCAAATACTAGGATTAAAAAAACCAAAAACAATTTGTCATAACAGGCTTTTTCGTATTTTGTTTTCTTTTTGCAAAATCAACTAACTCATTTTTAGAGAAGGAAACACATGGGAAATGGTTGCAATCCAGGATAGCTAATGTATACTTCTGTGCTTCATCACCATCTTAAAGTTATAAAATGGGAGACCGGCATTTCTAGCTGGAAGAGCCACAAAATAACTAAGTTAAATTATATTAAAAAAATTAACAAAGAAGATGATTGTGCTTCTGAATGTTGCATTAACTCATACGTGTTGAAAGATAGCTGACAATATAGGTTTTGAAATAGTTTTAGATGGGTTTAAATTGTTTTTAAATGTTTAAAATATGTTTTATTTTAATGTTTATTGTTTATTTATATATATTTTTATTGCCCTGGGCTCCATTGGCAGACTGGCCACGATAAAAACATTAATAATAATAATAATAAGCTTAAAGATCCTATTTCAAATTTAGCTAAGCCATGAACCATCTCGCTTACCTTAGGTAAACTGTCAGTCTCCACCTCTTGTCAGTAGTAGTATGCTGATAATAGTGGCCTACCTTATAGGATGATTGTAAGGTTTCCTGCATATTAAGTGCTCTGAACACAAAGAAAAAGCACTATACCATTACTTAGAGAGCCAGTATGGTATAGTGTTTACACTGTTGGAAGACCAGGATTCAAATCCCTACTCAGCCATGAAGCTCACTGGGTGACCTTAGACTGGTCACCACCTCTCACTTTGTTATGAAGATAAGGTGGGGAGGGATAGAACTATGTTTGCTGTCTGAACTCCTTGGAGGAAAGGTGAAATATAAATAGAATAATGGAACAACCAGTTGCCCTCAATGGGGAAAAGATTATGTTCAAGTTGTTAGCTATAACCCCATAAATAGCAGCTTTAATTATTTCAAATAAAGTTTCTAGACCTCACTGTTGTAGAGAAAAATCTCAAAAACATGGACTGCGTGTATATCCCAAGAAAGCTTTCCAAAGTACCAAGTACCTAAATGTAGCCACTTGGGGGTGCTGTGATGGTGACTGTTCGAAGCCTCTGTTACTGCAAGGTCAAACTGCTTCAGATGAGGGACAGAGGCACCTATTTTATGTCAGGAGAGGTAGGATATGACGGAGGTCAAGCTGAGCCAAATGCTGGGAACAAATAATGCAAAGTTATTCTCAAAAAAGCATTGAGATTTCTTGTTTCACATATTACTTATTTTGCCACTGTGGTTGTGACCTGTTGTTAATACATTGCTGTTTACTGATTATACCTGTCATCAAATTATATTATAAAAACCCCAGCGACTATTTATTTATTTTTGGTAGATCTGTTTAGCAGTGTCTGCCTGCGTCAAAAAAAATTCACTGTACCCAGTTATCCCACAGGATCTTAAAAGAAATCAATGTTCAATGACTGCTATTGTCAAGCTGGAAGGGAATAGGTGGAGAAAGGGCGTGTGGTTTTTATACTTCACACAAGACAGAACAAGGAATGTGAATTTGGGAAGAACATATGTGTTGTCCACATGCACTTAGAAGTGTTTGTTATTATTATTCTACAGCATGAAAGAATTGCATTCTGTTATGTTTTGTCTATTGTTGCTGATCTAGGCAGTGATGTGCTGCCAATACATTAACAAAGGCCCCACTCAAAACTTATCCCATTAACCTATTCTAAATCTTTGCACACAAAGAATGAGCTTGCTGGCGGAACACATGGGTGAGGGAATAGAGAAACTATTTGTCTGATTTCCTTTTTGAACTGCAGCATGCTTTCAGAACGATATCAGAAGACTGAGCAACTCTTTTATGAAAAGTCTGTGCGTGTGTATTTTGCTATTTTATTTTCCACAGAGTGAGAGGAGAATATGGGCATATTTTTCTTTTGGTTTAGACTGAAGTATAATGCAGTATAATGTTTTCAAGCTAATTTGCAGAAATTATGGACTATTCCTTCTGGGGAAAATTTGCAATCCAGTGCCTGGTTCTCTATTTACTCATATTAAGCGCACACACACACACACACACACACACACACACACCCTTATTTCCTGTGGCATCCAGAAATGTCACTTAAGTCAACTTGACATGCATCTGTCTCACTGTGGATAAAGCTTGTTTCTGTGTGCTGCACAAGGCCAAATAGCAAAGTCCACACTTGTGGCTAAATAGTTCCTAATTTTAATCCTTCTTTGTGGAATCCCAATAAAAGCTGAGCAATATTGCTTAGCTCATCTGTGGGAATTGCTGTTGAGAGTATGTCATGCGGCATTTCAGCTTGCAATAGTGATAAGTCAGCTTGTTTGCAGCTTGACTTATCTGTTCCATTGTTCAATGGGAAGATATGTCAGTTCTTGATCTTTTGTCTGAACAGATTCATTTTTTAACGGTGACCTCAGTTGAATTAGATGAGAGGAAGAATGCAGGATAAGTACCATGGCCAATCAGTCCTAGTAAACTCTTTCCCATCCTCAGAGGAGGAAATATTTTTTCATTCTGTTTAGTACAGTGGTACCTCGGGTTAAGTACTTAATTCGTTCCAGAGGTCCGTACTTAACCTGAAACTCTTCTTAACCTGAAGCACCACTTTAGCTAATGGGGCCTCCTGCTGCTGCCACGCCGCTGGAGCCCAATTTCTGTTCTCATCCTGAAGCAAAGTTCTTAACCCGAGGTACTATTTCTCGGTTAGCGGAGTCTGTAACCTGAAGCGTATGTAACCCGAGGTACCACTGTAGTTCCCACTGTGGACTGATTGCTGCAGCAATAGTAATAGGTTTTTGAAACCCCATGAGCCTGGACCACTACACCACTGGTCTAAAACAACAACAACACAAAAGTACTGGGAATCAGGACAGAAATGCGTGTTCAGTGTACAGTTGGTTTGAGGTTCAAAGCAGATTTACTTGGAAATGCAATCCACGGAAAGCAAGGCAACTGTTTTCTATGTAAATATATACAGGCAGCCCCCCACCCCCACCCCCATATATGGGGGGTTACATTCCGAGGCACTGTGCACATTGGTGAAATCACTTATAATTGAAACCCATTGCAAAAGCCTGAAACACCCCTTCCCCACTCCGGTTCTGCCCTTTTAGTGACATTTCAGTGACCTCTTTATGACACTTCCAGGTCACTTCCAGGTATACAGTGCAATACATGTATACATGGTTGTGCACATATTGAATGCACATAAACGGGGGGCTACCTGTACTGTAAACCACCTTGTGATCATTGGATGATGGGTGGTATATCACTTCAATAAATAATAAGTAACTAAGTAAGTGTAGGATGAAGGTACAAGTAGGTCATAGTAGTAGCTGTAAAAGGAGGGTGCTGATAATAAGAGTGCCTCCCCCCCAAAAAAGTGGACCTGATAAGAAACAGAAAGTATTTTGGCATATAGATGAGAATATACTTCTTATATACTAGCCTGCTTTGCCAGGGCTCTGGTCACCTGTCAGGTTTAAGATATTCAGGATGTCAGATTGCCTGAATCAGTGAGAGGATGCCAAACCTTTTACTAAACAGGCACATGAGGTTCATCAAATGGGTAACACCTGGCCTTGTAAGAAAATATATTGTCTATTAAGCATCTGGTGCACAACTACATAACAAATCAACCAGGAAATAAATACTACCATAGACCTGGCCAAGTACGGGAAGTGCTTTTAATTTTTTTAACCTTGCATTCTGGTATGAAGAGCCAGTCACTTTTTACACAGCATAAATAGAAATTGCAGGCAATTTTTGTTTTGAGGGGGGAAATTGGGGGCGGTGCTGGGGAGAAAGAGGTGCAAATGGGACAGATGCTGACAATGACATTTGACATGTATGAGAAAGATTTATGTTAATTAGCATTTTACAGGACTGTATGGGTTGTTGTTTTTAGATTCAATTACTTTTGATTTTTTTTTATCCTGTAAGAAATTGCAGGCAGTAATATGAAAAATACACATTAACATCTTGCTTGAGTCAGAGTCACATCTCTTAAATGCTTGGAATACATGGAGATGCTTGGTACGTCTGGTTCTCAAACACCCATTTTGACTTGCATTATGCACGGCTACCTTGCCACACTGGCGAATGTTTGTACAGATTTCCTTTAATAAGTAGGCTTTGACTAATGCCTCCGAGTTCCCCACTGTGCTCAAATGAAGCAAGGATAATGGTTTACACTTTCTCCTCCAAACAGAAGGAACTCCAGAGCCATAAAGGAAACTTACAATGTCAGGGGGTGATTTTATCTCATTACTTTTAATGGAAATGAGGTGAAGTCTTAGCCAAAGTGCCACAGAACTGGATTGCAGAGCCAGTAAATGCATTTAAAAGGTCACAGAAGTGTGCTGAATGCGATACTCTTCTCCCTGCCTTCCAAAATATGTAGTGGTCAGGTGAAATAGCACCCAATGAGCCTGTACCTTTTTTGCTCCTTCAGATTTCCCAGTTGATGACCGAGACTGGCCGAGAGGGATTGACTGAAGCTGCCCTGAACCGCTACAATGCTGATAAACCCTCCTTGTACAGCTTACCTGCTTCCCAAAGCACCTGTGTTGCCAGTGACACGTCAACAGGCACCTCAGTGGCAGCTTCCTTTTTTGCCAGGTAAGATGGAAAGTTTGCTTGTTCTCTGCAGCTCTGATGTGCCAGGGGCTGTAGGCATCCAGGTCTAAGGCTAACACTTCAAAGACTGATAAAAGGATTGGCTGATATGTTCATTGCTCCATGACAAAGTTTTAAGTGGAATGATTTGTTGGATTTTTTAATATACATTTTTATTAGTTTTCTTAACATACATTTCCAACAATCATATAACATAACTTCTTATACAATATTTTTAGACTTCCGTCAACACCTATGATGATTTTCCGTTCTTTATCACTTATTCTGCATTTTTTAATTTCTCTATTACTCTTAATTATCATTAACTAATAATTCTCCTCACAGTCTTTCTTGCAATATTTCAAATAAACATCCTTACAAAACTTCTTGCAATCCTACTAGTGTAATCTGTTCGTTACAATTACTTTTCCAATAGTTTGTATATTTACTCCAGTCTTCTAAGAATCTCTGGTGCCGCAGGTTTCGAATCCTTCCTGTTAATTTATCCAGTTCTGCATAGTCCATCAATTTCATCCTCCATTCTTCTTTCGTCGGTAACTCTTCTTGCATGATTTGTTGGATCTAGAGCAACATGCAATTTTGCTTCTTTCCATTACCCTGCACCCATTTAAAATGATAGTGAGAGATAAAAAAACAACACTTGTGTTTGTTTATGAGTTTTCCTAGAACTTGAAAAGTCACATTGATCTGTAGGAGTGTGATGGTGTCTCTCCAGCACCAATGGGACCAAACAGTAGACTAGCTCACATGCGAATGTGCTGGAAGCTGGCAGCAGGCTAAGCATATGAACAGCACCTGCAGTGAGGAGATGCAGCTTTACTGGGGTGGGATGAGGATTAGTAGGAGGAAAGAGGCCAGCTGTGTTGGCAGTGTCTGGTGGGGGGAGCTGCCATCACAGCTGGCCTCTCTCATCCTCCCCCCGATAAGGCTGCTAGGAAAGAAAGGAAATAATTATTGACCGCTGTTCAGGTGCTTGAGGTGTATCCGCACAACTGTCTCCCCACTTGCAGCTACCAAATATCTGATCAGCAGTGCTGATGCTCACTTGTACCTGGCTCCATAACCCTTCAGGATACAGCCCGCCCACCTTGCAGCTGCTGCACAACTGACCGCTGGCTGCATGAAGCACCTGGCCAGGAACTTTATGCCAAAGACTCATGGCATGAGTATCCTCAGCCCAGATTTGCCAGTGCCTTTGCCCTGCTATACTTCATGGGTGGTAGTCAATGACGTTATGCTCAGAGTAGTGTTAACAACAAAAAAGGGGTGCCGGTACTGCTTATCATTGAGTACCCCCTGAAAAAAGCACTGAACATGACTTAAGTTAGATCCAACAATGTCAATGGGTCCACTCAGTTGAATACCACCCAACTGGAAGATGTTTGCAGGGCAGGAAATGATGTCACATCTACTAATCATTTCCAAGGAGACGGGAGGAGATGCGGGGCTGCCATTCATTGTTGAACATACCGTTCTGGCATCTGGTGAGGAGACTTGAGATTCTCTTTCAAAGAATCTGAAAGACAGTGAATCATCAAACAAACAAACAAACAAACAAACAAAACACTGAAGCACACAGACAGTTGTTTACAACTGAGGGTTATATGGATGCTAGTCAAGTACAGAGCTGGCTGGTCTTGGGTTAGTTAAAATGAGGGAGGCTGGGGTAAGAGATGAGTCTATACAATGAAGATACTATACTATTTATTCCCCATATTACGGAGGCTGAACTGGGCTCCACTAGAAGTTGGGCATTTAGTACCACCAGTCCCATACTGTGGAGCACTCTTCCAGCAGAGAGTTGGCAGGCATCCTTTTGACTTTCAAACGTCTCTTGAAGGCCTTTTTATGCTAACCAGGCATACACAGATGTTAACATTGATTAACTGGGCACTTTAATTATATATTTTTATTGTTTTAAATTGTGTTTTATGTTTTATAGCTGCACACCGCCATGATATTTTATGATATGGGGGCATAGAAATACGTAAATAAATAAACCTATCGGTATTTTGCTAAGAGGCTGAATGTGCACATTGAACAGTAGGAGGGACAAGATGGCTTGGCTAAATAAGGCTTAGGCAAATCTTTTGGTTTCTTGCTGTCCAAAGAATGCAAATCCTAACAGTATTCCATTGAAAAAACTACATCCAATGGCAAAATTGTGGGATGACTTGTCAAACTTACATTAAGAAATAGGGGTAATTTTTGGACTCCCCTCACTTTCTCTCTCTCTTAATGAACTACATTTAAATTTGCAATATATGACATAATAAGATGGGGGGGGGATCCATTGGAATGTGTGGGGGAGAAAATTAACAACTCCTGTATAACACTCGGCTATTTCTAAAGCCCATTTCAGGGCTAGCAGACAGAGTGCCGTTTGTCAGCCTGAAAGATGTCTGTTTTCAGGCTTTTCAGAGTAAAAATGGTAGGTTTGATTTTTTTTTTTAAACTGACCCTCTAGCAGTTGAATATGGCTTTAATTTTAATTATAGCATTGGGCATTCAGCAGTTTTTAAAAAGGGAAACTGTATTACACCAAATTAGAGACTTATGTTGTACATTAAAGCCTTTTGTGGAATTCGTCCTTTTATTGGAGAAAGCACTAGAGAAATAAACAGTTATTGTCTCCTAATTTTCTTGACTAGATTGAATCAAACCTCTCAATAACTGCAGTTAACCCACCATCAAGTAATGTTAACTAAAAAAAGAAAAATGCTTCATAAGTGTTGGTTAGTGCTTTAGCTTTGATATTTACTTAGGCGTGAGCCAAGTCATGTAAATAAGCCTTCTGATCCTTCAGGGCAAGCAGAGACAATGTGCATTGGCAACAAGCAACTTGAAATTGTTTATAGGTCTTTAAGCTTAGATTTTGCATTTTGCATGTTAGACAAGATGTTGGACAACATGCAGGGAAATTTCTGAACTTAATGAATACTGAATCTTATCCCTTTGTATTCAGCCTAAAATTATTGAAATGACTGCCAAGCCATTGTACTCATTCTGCTAAGTGCTTACACTGGAGTAGTTCCATTGATTTCCTGAGTGCCTGGAATTGAATACTTGAAAACATACCTTCAGTGCTTTCCCCCCTAAAAATAAATAAATAATAAGATTAGCGGTACTCTCATTTTCCTACTCATATTGAACTACTGCCCCTCAATGAGGCCAAACTTAGATTCACAAAATGTTTAGGGTTATGCATACCCCTGCATTCCCCTGGAAAAAAGCACTTCATACCTCAATATGTTTAGGGCACAATGCATACCCTAGTCCAGCTCCCTCCCTTTAAGTCTGGGGTAGGCAACCCTTGGCCTAATATTATGCAGCCCTGGGCCAACTTTCATAAGCCTTCTACAATATCTCTAGCAAGAATGATCTGTTTTTCCATGGCAGCCTGCTAGGTATAGAAGAAGAGAAGTGATGGATGTCAAAAACAAAGAGAAGTTAGTAGAAAGAGAAGGAAAATGAGGTGGCCATGCCCACTTTTGGCTCTGTCCGTCCCACCACTGCTGGCTTTGGCCTCACCCACAACTGGCATGTGGCACAACTCGCCCACAACCAACATGTGGCCCTTCTGTATTCTGAGGGAATACAGAAAAACAGGTCAGCCCCACCTGCTTTAACTGATAAGCATCTCTGAGCTTAAGCAGAACCATTATATTATTGTGACAACAACTTATCTAGAATAATACTCAGAAATAAAATTAGCTTCTCACGAACAATTTGCCAGCCACCAAGAGCAGAATTCTTTCAACCAATCAATTCACATGTTATTTGGGTGTGGGCATTAAAATACGCCACTCCTGCTTTCGAAAGATGCCAGACTGGCTGCGGTTCATGATTTTGCTCCAGTTGCTCCACCTGGCCTGATGATTCTCAGTTACAAAGTGGACAGCAGGGTGAGTACAATGCCCTGGGAATTTCTGCTCTGCATATACTGCTGAGTATATCAGCCAAGTGATTCTTTCCTACCAATGTTGCCAACCTGCTGAAATGAATGGATGCTACACAAGAGGGTGCTTGTTCACGAGAGGCTCCTGGAGGATAATAAATTTAAAAGGAATGTTGAAAAGCTTTCAGGCGATTTCACATGAGTCTGTGAAAAGGGAGTCTGTTTTTTATTAAGCACTGAAACTCTACCACATGGTCACTTTCTCTTGTACACAAGTGGCCACAGCCTATCCTCAGCCATGCATGTTCCAGTATCTGCATGGAGAAACTAGACTATGCAGGAAGAGATAACACAGCCTAGCAGCTGGGAGCAATTTCTGCATTTCTGGCTGTGTTGTTTTCAGCAGCCATAATAGGTGGAATTGTTATGACTGTATCCATGTCATATTTCAATTTCTCACAATTATCAGTAGGATCTGCTTATATGAGAGTAGAATAAATAACTTTGCTTTGTCAAGCTAGGCATACTAGTCCTAATAACATCAAGTTCTGGATTGTACAGGACAATTTTTAAAGTGACTAGAGAGGGTTTTTTAAAATTATTATTTCCCCAAGTCTGCTGGTATGGTTGATGGACCAATGCAATAAACACTATTCTAGTCTATTTCCCCAAATCTACAAATACATCTACAGAAGATGCTTGTCTGCAAAATTGAAGACTCCCTAGTCACCTGCTAATCATGGAGCCTAGGTGTTAAATGTTACCTCTCAGGATTGTAAAAATGAAAATTAAGAGCATTAATCTGATTCTTTGTACAGCCATGGCTCAGTTAATTATACAAATCACCTCTGACCACATTGATATTTGCATACTAAAAATTAAGCAAATGATACATAGATGGTTTTATATGCTGATATGTTGACCATATAAAATATATTGATGCTTTTGTGTATCTGCATTGATAAAGACATCTGGAGTTGTCTCTGTTTTGTCCACCACTAGGCAGTCACAGATTCAAAAGCTCATGTGGGTCCAATGTAAAAAGTACTAAACCTTACAGTTTACACCTGTAAAATCTGAATTG